CAGCAGGGCCACCATTTTCTCCTCCAGCTCCTTCCTCTTTGCCTCAGACTTTGCAAGCTCTTCCTTGGTTTTCTCAAACTCCTCCTTCATGTTGGCCATCTCCTTCTCAGATTCTGCACTCTTCAGCAAGGGCTTGATCTTGAAGAACAGCTTCATCCAGGGCCAGTGCTTGACGTTCATGAATGCACGGACATTGTACTGGATACAGAAGATGGACTCCCTGAAACAAAATTCACATTTATATTGCATAGCTTTGTTGTGATGAACTTAAACTTCATTAGCCAAGTACCATGAGAACAAACTTAATTTGAGAAACATCTACCTCCTTTCCACCATTCTCCGATACTCCACTCTCATCAGGAAGCCCCTGCATCTGGCTTGTGTGCGAGTGATGATTTCTGCCAGCTTGTCATCTCTCATCTCCTCCAGGAGCCCCAGCAGTCCAGCTTTGAAGAACACCTTGGGAAAGGAAATGTTACAGCATGTCATTGTCAGGTAGTACAGAACAGAGGCACAGAGTATTTCAGGATCCTTACAGACCTTAATGGCCATGACTAGGCTCCATTTGGCCCCCTCTCAAACCATCTGCCCACAGGCTTATGAGTTTAAGCATTTTGTCCCTGTCAGAGCTGTGTGGTATGTGTTCTGGTTTCCAGCTCAACCTCAGCCTCAGCCACACCTATGACTGATATAGGACCCCAGTGAGCTCTACCATGACCTGTAGACTTAGTCTCTGGCTTGCTTTTTGACCAATCTCATTGCTGTGGATCTGTCCAGGAATTAATTAATAGTGCTAGGGCCTTGTTAGCCTATCTATATCTAATCCTGAGCAATCTTAAAAACCAAGGCTTTATGGCTTCACCTCAGACCTTCCTTCTTGACACAAACATTCCTGATGATCTGGGCTCTTGGTTGAACCTGATTACCATTCCAGGGTCTTCCCCACTTGCCTTGATTGAGTACTGTTGGGATGTGCACTTACTGATTAAGGCTTCTACCCTGCCAGCTCTGTTATTGTGTTGTGCTCTCTGCCACTGATGAAGGAGCCCACCCTTACCTCTTCATGACAAACTTTTAACAGAAAACATATTTCTACCTTGGTGTGACCAAATCTATATTGGGTGTGATCCACATCAATGGACCCAAGGAGCTTTTCTGAGGCCTTCTTGCTGTCCATGAACTGTCCCTCTGGGATAGCACTTGCATTAAGAACTCTGTATCTGCAGAATAAAAAAGACGTGAAGAAACCCCCATCACTGCAACAACCACTGTGAATGAAGCTCACAGCTTCCTCAGACTGTCTCACTGAACTGATCTCATTCCTGGAGACAGTTCATCCTTCCAGAACAGGATATGGAGAGTATTTTTACTATTAACTCTAAGATCAAGAGAATCCAGATCTCAACAGTGTCATATCATGAAGTGATGATGGAACATTTCTATATTACTGCTCAATACCAATTTAAAGTAAAAGTTTCAAGTATATGATACACAGGCTCTTCAGCTTGGGCACAAAGCTGGAGCACTCTTACCTCTGTTTGAAATCAGCATACAGGACTCTGCTGGGGAATCCTTTCCTGCAAATTCTGATCCCTTCCAGCACACCGTTGCACCGCAGCTGATGCAGCACCAGCTCATGCTCCATAGCACCTAACAAACACCACCGTTAGGGACTACCCCGTTGTTTGACACTCTGGAGAAGAGCTTCTTAGCTTGAGTTTTTATCCTATTGGCTCCCCTTACCAGGTGTTTTTGTTTCATTTGGGATGATGCATCGTACAAAATGGGGGTGAGTGCTTCTCAGGTTAGCCATCAGCTTGTTTAAATTCTCCTGTGAGATCATGAAATGAAGTTTATATTATCAAGTGTAAGTACTAGAAGTTTAATAATGGACACATCAAACTGAATGTTTCAGGAGCAAACCTGTCTTCTCTAAAACACCTTGCAGAACTCCCAGAGGGAAACTTGGAAATTGGAGGCTCACAGATTTTTGGTTTTGAAATTCCTTTGTAGAATAATAGTTAGTATTACTTTCCTTGATCTTCTTATACAAATACAGAGCTGCTATCTCACAGCTTTACTTCCACCTGGTATTTCTTGTGGTACTTAGTTGAGCATTTTAAGTGGATGATATGTAGTCTTGGTTACACATGAGTAGAATCTAAATTAGCAGATAAGTCCTTTTTGAATTGAGATTGAATATTTCTATAGCCCATATAAATTTACTTTTTTAATAGTAATTCAATCTCCCTAAATATCTCCACTTCAGAAAAATGGAAATCTAAAATTGACCTCAAAAATTATTAACGTTCATTCTCTTTCCCCATAGAAATTACAATATTGACTTACAATCTTACAATCTCAAGGCAATTATTTTGCTTTTGATGTCTAAATTTTTACTTTTTAAATCTACAGTGTAACAATACTGAAAATCCTTATAGATTTGTAAAACAGATATGGTAAGTATCTCTGAAATCTCCAGAACAGATTTTGTGGAAGTTCAGCTGATTTGTTATTCATTCCAAGTCTAAGAAGGTGAACGTCATCCTTGGAGATTTTTGTAGAATATGCAAAAAAAGGAATGGCAAAACTAAGTCAGGTGGAAGAAATCAGCAAAAATAGGGTGCAATGCCAATAGTTAATGGGAAAAAAAAAAAAAAAAAAAAGACCTAGACAATTGTCTAGGGAGTTCCAGGAGGTTGACAATATCACTCTCACTCCTTAATTGAAAAGAAGAACATGCAAGGACTGAAGTAGATTTTTTTGTGTTGTTCAAGGTAGTTCTGTAATTTCCAGGAAGAGCAAGGGAAAGATTTTCAAGAATGACAAGACCTATGTCCAAAACTAAAACAGACTTCAGATTCATAATAAAATTCCTCTCCGTTTTCAAAAAAATTATAAACTCTATACTTACCCGGAAAAGTGCTGATACAGTCTGGAAGGAAGAACCCTTCTTCTTGCCACCCTTTTTGCCACCACCACCAGCCTCTGTGAATGGAAGAAAAGAAATATTAAAATATGGATGTTGCATATTGGAGCCTACAGAACACAAAACAACTATAGATGTTGACTGCTTTATTTCTGGGTCAACATTGTCCCACACCGAAAATACAGTTTTCACAAAGCTGACCTGCATCTGCTCCACCATAGGAGGCAAAGAGTAAGGCCAGTGTTTTCAGTGATGATTTCTGGTACAACCCAATGACAGTTTCATTCAGGGGGTCCTTGTTCTTCTCAAGCCAGCCAGAGATGTTGTAGTCCACTGTGCCAGCATAGTGCACCAGGGAGAAGTGGGCCTCAGCCTTGCCTTTGGCAGGTTTGGGCTTCTGGAAGTTGTTGGACTTGCCCAGATGTTGGTCGTAGAGCTTGTTCTTGAAAGAGGTGTCAGTTGCCTTGGGGAACATGCACTCCTCTTCCAGGATGGAGAAGATGCCCATGGGCTGGAAGGTACCACAAGAAGTAATGGAGAAAAATTATAACAATGTGAAGCATGTGCTATGAACATCAAAGATACCAGGGTATTGCTGGTAGCATCTCCGCCTGGGTAAGGGCCTGAGTTTGTTGGGAGTTGTTCTCAGACAGGGAGCCTGTTTCTGCCTTCCACTGACGTCCTGCAGCCTGTGTTCATAGGACTAGTAAGAACGTCTGTCTTGTTCAGATTAGAATGCTGAGTAGAATTAAAGGGAGAAGTGGTAAACAGAAAAATAATTGGGAAAACATCTAGAAGAGTCTCATTTGATCTGAGAAATCAGGCGAGATGATATTTATTTCCCAAATTTCTGCCTGGAATCCTGATTTGTATCTTCAGAGGAAAAAGGAAAGGAGATTGACTCCAGAGGGGGTTTAAGAAGTCTGTTGGTGGGAGTCTGGGCTATTTTCCCCGTGCTTGAAGACCAGGTAAAGCAAGATTGATGGCACAGATTTGCATTTCCTAAGTACTCTTCCCCAGACTAAAATCAATTTTGGTGCAATATATCTTGTTTAACTGACACTGAATGCCTGGCTGTGAGTTCTTTCTGAGCTGAATCTGGCTCAGAAACGTCAGAGAAATTCAAAATACTTCATACGCTTGCACAGAACAGGTACCTTCTCAATGAGCTCAATGCAGGCAGCCAGGTCCATCCCAAAGTCAATGAACTCCCATTCAATTCCCTCCTTCTTGTACTCCTCCTGCTCCAGCACGAACATGTGGTGGTTGAAGAACTGTTGCAGTTTCTCATTGGTGAAGTTGATGCACAGCTGCTCAAAGCTGTTGAACTGCCCAAATGTAAAAAAAAAGATTCAATGTTTTCAAGGTTCGGTCTTCACCACCACGCTTTTCCCTGTCTTATTCTGATCTTTTATGTATCAGGCCCCTTCCCTACCTTTTCTTCCAGAAATCCTTCAGTGGGACTGTACTTACATTCTGAAGAGAGGAAAGACCTCTAAGTCATTGTAATACAGAGATTTTTCGTTTGCTTGTTATCATTCCATATAATATGGGTGTTTTGGAATCTCTGAATTCTAAAGCAAATTTAGTAAATAACTACAGCACACTAGACTCTGCCTCTCCCAACACCCCGATCATGAAAATTGCCATAATTTGCTACTCAAATATTTTTCTGTTCTTAAGAGAGTGGTTCTAGATATTTCTATGCACTGGTATGGAAACTTTTGTGGTTCTTTCACCAACAGTATGAACATTTTCTAATGTCTTTCAATAATTCCCACCAAGAGCATGATTATTTCTAATATCTATGCATATTTTCTACACCTTTGGCCCAGATGCTTTGTCACAGATTTCTTCCTTTTTTCTTTTGTTTTAAGTAAGCTAATATTTTTGCACACTGTGGTATTAGTCTCTTTCTTGTTGAGATCTAACTATGGAAAAGGTCAGTTTCTTTAATTGTGAGATCTCTTGACAATTGTATTTTTTATAAAAAATCTGATTCTTCATGAAAGAAGTCTTAGAATTTTCTTAATATCCATTGTTCCTTCCATGAAGCTGTTGTGAAATCCCTGTTCCTTACATCAAAGATCTCAAAACCAGCAATGTCCAGGACACCAATGAAGTACTGTCTGGGTTGTTTGGTATCCAGCTGCTGGTTGATGCGAACCACCATCCACAGGAACATCCTCTCATAGACAGCCTTTGCCAAAGCACCCACTGAATTGTTCACCTAAAACCAAGGGGAGATGCACAAAGGTTACTGTACAGATAAATATTAAGGAATTTTAACTGTCTTAAAAGAAATTCTGATTCATAGCCATGTATTTCTAGTAACGATTTATTTTACCTGCTCCACAGTTTGACCTTTGGTCACAAATTCATTCCCAACTTTGACTCGAGGATAACACAGGGCTTTGAGCAGATCAGCTGAGTTCAGACCCATCAGGTAGGCAGCCTTGTCAGCAACTGAAAGGCAAGAGAAACAAAGAAAAAAATGATCATTGGAAAAGGACTGGAATTTGATCAATGGGTGTGTGTCTCAGAAATTACACCAATGTTCAAAATTCTTGACTGCAAATCATTTAATCTACTATCACATCAAGAATACTGAATGCAGGAAACCTGTGAAATACAATATTGGTGGGGGTTTTTTCAAAGTTGTTACCAGTAGGAAAACTTTCCTTGTTATTTTTAACTAAATTTATAAACTGAAACAATGCTTTTAATAACCTCTACTTTAAAAACACGTGAAGATTACAACATGGCATCTTAGTCAAGATGTAAGAAACCTCTTATATTTAAATAGGCCACACTCTGCACTGCCAATAGGACAAATATGTACATGCCAGAGCCTATGTATGAAATTAGGGAAGTTTCTCTGCAAAAAGACTTGTAAAGACCTTCTGCATGCTAATTGGAAAGATGTATGAAAATAGGCCAAAAAAAGCTGACTGAAGGAATTCAGTAAGACAGGCCAGGAACCGGAGAATCAGGTTAGCAGCTTAATGGACACTAAAAGAAACATTATAGTTTTCACTTGATGAAGCTACAGCTTTTGTCCTGTCTAAAAAAATTATTTCCCAAAACTGATTTCTTTGTTAAAAAGTCATTTGCTAAGGACCTTCTGTGCCATCGGGCTCTGCCTGCTCTTCTCGTTGTTTCTGCTTGAACTTCAGGTTCCCATAGTGCATGACAGCCCCCGTCAGCTTGTAGATGGCGGTCTTTTCATCAGCAGTGAAGCCCAGGATGTCAATGGCACTCTGCAGGAAAAAAAAAAAAAAAAAAAAAAAAAAAAAATCCGGGTCCTTAGTAGGTCACCTACGTCACCTTTGAGACATGTACACTAGGTACCTTTTCGCTGTGTCACTTACATCTGTAGCCATGAGCTCCTCCTGGTCATCAATGCTGGGAACAGTGACCTCACCTTGGCTCACGTAGTGGAAATCAAAAGGGTTGGTGGTAATAAGGAGCATGTCTGAAAGCAGGAAGAGGCAAGGCATAGGCTTAGTTTTGCCAACCAGGTAACAGAGGGAACTGTTGCTCAGCAATCATCCTCAAAAAGACATCATGATCCTTCCTACCAATTAGCTCTGGCTTCTTGTTGGACATGATCTGATAGAATATGTGGTAACTTCTTTCTGCCTTGAGCTGGAAAGTGACTCTGGACTTCTCCAGCAGATCTGGCAAGGCGGGTAGAAAGAGTTAGGCACGGGAACACACGTGGAGCTGGGAATTTAGGAAAGAATGGGATCAGGTCAGGAGAGTGTCTTACAGGTTTCAATGTCGGCAGAAGCCAGTTTGCCCGTGGCCCCAAAGTGGATTCTGATGAATTTGCCCTGTTAAGGGGAAAAAGAAGCATTTCAGCCTCAGTACATTTCATTGCCATCTCCTCATGTGAGAACACCACTAGCCCATCATCCCTGCTGTTACAAGGAGGGGGCATTTTTGTCCAAAGCAACAACTTACAAAGCGGGAGGAGTTGTCGTTCCTCACGGTCTTGGCATTTCCAAAGGCCTCCAGCAGTGGGTTAGCGCTGATGATTTGATCCTCAAGCGTTCCCTGCAGAATGATCATTATTGCTGGTTATCCTCTCCAAAAATCATCTCAGGAACAGAGGAAAGCTTTGGTTCAAGCCAGTATCTATTAACTAATGATTTGATCCTCAAACTTTCTCTACAGCCTGATAATTTTTCAATGACAGTGTTTATCTGACGTGGCAATGACATGGCAAATGTTCAATCTGTTCCTCCTGACTCACCTGCATTTTGCCTGACTGTTCCTCCTTCTTCTTCTCCCCACTCGCTGCAATTGTTGCAAAGTACTGGATGACACGCTTTGTGTTCACAGTCTTCCCAGCACCGGATTCTCCGCTGTGAAACCAAAGAGAGAAGCAGAGAGCGTGTGGTCAGGCGGGAGGTCCCTCAGCACCGGGCAGCCCCACAGGGACCCGAGAAGGGATCTACATACGTGATCAGGATTGACTGGTTCTCACGATCTGTGGAAAGAGGCAGAAACAAATAGATTATTTATATATATCATTAATATCCTAAATAAAACTTGTTACTTTTAGTAGACTCTCTAGCAGTAGGCTAATTTGTTTCATAAACCTGTCTGGCTTCACCCAAAATTCCTTTTTCAAAGTTCCCAGCTTTAGCTGGGAAGGTGACATGTCAACAGTGAGGTGGATGTCAGGTGTAATATATGGTCTTTTTCTGCATATTCTCTTCATATCAGCTGCTTATTTTCTTTAAGAAAATAATCCCAACTAAGGAGTATTTTTATAGAGTTTTTGATTCATATGTAAACTAATGTGAACTGGAACAAGTGCTTCCCATAAACTTTATTACACAAGAAGAACCACTTCTGATCAGTCCATAGGACCCCATAGACAGTTTTTCTGTCAGCGGCCAATTAATTGTTTGCTAAAGAAAATCACAATGTCATGATAAGCATGTAGTAATCTTTTTCCATGTACTCTCCCATACTCTCGAATATTGAAATTTTGATACATCCAGAGGTAGATTTGATGGTTTTATGTGTAATAGCTTAGAATGATTTTGCTATCCAGGATTTCGTCTGGTTGCTTTTTTAAATTAGGCTCAGTTTTTTTTGTGTGGCTTCTGCTTTTACCATCCAGTCTGCTTTGTTTTTGAACCACATCCTGTGTGAAGGAAAAGAATGTGGTTGGTGCTGAGCTTGGTTTTTCATGTGTTCTTTCCTCTTCTACTCTTCTCCGTGCCATGCAGAGTTTTATAAAGTAACACAAATCATTTGTCTAGAGTTACCTGAGCAGATATCCTGTCATAACTTTGGGAAACCTTTTCATCCTTGTCTTGACCTGTTCCATTTCTAGTATATCCTTTTTCGAAAAAGGAAAGTCAGAAATGCATACAGTACATAAGGGGCAGAATTCCTTGGGTAACCACCAGGATATAATGATTTTCTGTTTTGGTCACTATTTCTTGCTCAGTGACCTCCACATTTCAACTGGTTATTTTGTAGATTTTTTGATCACCGAGGCAAAATTTTTAAAGCTGTATTAAAGGATATCTGTAACAAAAGCAGTAGTTGTCAGTAAAGAGCCCATCTTTTCGTTGTTTTGTTTGGTTTGTTTGTTTTTTTCTGTCTATTGTTTTACATTCTAGTTTTGCAAACTTTGTTGCTACATCACTGAATAATAATTTCATCATTTAATGTCATAAAGTCCCTCTGAAATTCTTCACTGTTAGACTTCATCTTTACTGGCATGAAGGACTTAGTCAAAACAGAAAGTTTGTCATCATTTCCAGATCATTTAAATAAATATTGAGCAGCAGAGGTCCCAGAACATATCCCAGGGTGACTTCATTGATAAAATCTTTGTACTATGAAAACTGAAAAAACTCTTTTTATATGTCTTCCTTTTTCTTAATCAGTTATTTTCAAACCTTCTCTGTTCTACAGCTGGTTGTGAATGTAAGCACAAACAATTATGCTAAGAATAGCTGCTTTAACAACTGTACTGAAGATCTTTACTAGATTCAGATAGGCTATCTTGACCTGCTCTTCTTTGTTTTAAAAAAAAAAAAAAAAAAAAAAAAAGTGTTTTTTTAAGGCTTCCCTTTAAAAAAAAAGTGCATCTTTTTTTCTTGTTAAGTCACATATTCACATGCCTCTAATATGTTCCTAATTGTCTTTAGAAATTACTGGCAGTTTGGCTTTTAAAAAAATCAAGTTTAATGGTATGCTGTTCCTTAAAACTCCCTCACAACTCTTTAAAAAATTACTGTAACACTCACTGTTTTCCAATAAATTTTCAGTGAGAATTTTGATCTGTAGAGTTCAATTGGAATGCCTGGTTGAATTCTGTCCTATAAATTTGCTAGTGTTTATTCTATTGTTGCTTTTTTTAAGGACACTTCAATCAGAAGTTCCTCTGATGAATCCCACTATAAGGAGGAGCTCCAGAAATGAATACTTCCCACACTACTTTAAGGTAAACAAAATCTCATTCAGTGTTCTCGTACAACCTTGTATTTTCCAAGCTGTCTTTTTAAATTTTGACTGTGTCAGTACAGACTCACTTTAAGCCCTTCTGCTCCTCATGTATTTGAAAAAGAAAGAAGCATTTTTTCATGTGTGCTGCAAGTTGTTCTCAAACCTTTGGTTTTGCATACCTTTTTGTGTTTTCACAGTTGACTAGCCAGAGTTATGTTTTGACAAAAGTCTTTATGTGTTTAATAACCTACCTCAATAGGCTGTGTAACTGGATTGGCCTTCAACAAAGTGCTTTTTGCCAGTTGGCTTACATTTCTTCCAAGCCTCTAGGATGGTGCTTTCCAATAATCTGCATTCAGTCTGAAAAGACTAAGCCATTAGGTAACTATACACTAGGACCTGATTTGGATTTGTGTTCACCAAGTTCCTGAACATATCTTGAAGGTGACAGTAAGAGTAAATGTATGATGACTTGCATAAATACTGCCATGGTAAGGCACACTAAGCAAACAACAATTTATTACTGTTTCATTTTCATAGTATTCTCTTTCAATTAACTTTCTTACTTCTCTGAATACTACAGAACTAATAAGAGTAATTGGAGGGGAGCGGGGAAAAGTTTTATGTTAACAAATTTAAATATACCATTGTTTAATATTTTTCTGACTAATCTGCTCTTTCTTGAAAGTCTGGAGATTTAAACAATTCTAGAAATGTATTCATTGACCTTCTTTCTTACTGCTTACCTTTCTTTTAATGAATGGAAAAGAAGGAAATGCTTCTGAGACAAGTGTGAAACTAATAACTTTCCAAGCATCTTTCACTGTAATGTCTGATTAAGACTGCTTCCTGAGTTTTCATAAAAACACCATAGAAAGCATTGGCTTCAATGTAGAATCTTCTTTTTCTTTACAATCAATCATATTTAAAGACCACTACCCTAGTGATTCAGTCAAGAAGCAAATCCAAGCAAATCATTCAAAGAAAAGTCCTCTCAACTAAGAAAAAGCCAGAACATTAAAAGTTTATCCAGTTCTCTTTGAAGGAAAATCTGACAATGTATTCAGCATTAAACCATATTCTCATAAATATCTTGGGCAATAAATTATAACATTAATTGTTAGAAATATGGACTCAATGACAGTGTCCAACAAAAAAAAAAATATTTCCAATGATGAGAGGACATCCACTCTCCCAACACCATTGAACTATTTTACAATGAAAATATTTTTTTTTATTCTCTGAGAATGTTCACAGCCAAATAATTTAAAGAACACCAAACAACTCACCAGTCAGCATGAACTGATAGGCATTGTCAGAGATGGAGAAGATGTGTGGAGGGGCCTCCTGGCGCTTCTTGCCTCGGTAGGCCAACACCACCTCCGGGTTGTACACCGGCAGCCACTTGTAGGGGTTGACAGTGACGCAGAAGAGACCCGAGTAGGTCTGTGAGGAAGGGAGACAGCACATTGGCTTCCACCTACCCTGGCAGAGCAGTTCCTCCTCGCTGCCCAGGGGAAGACTGCTGCTGGTACTTGCTGCTGGTACTTACGTAGATCATCCAGGCTGCGTAACGCTCTTTGAGGTTGTACAGCACAGCGGGTTCGTGGAGGTGGGTCATCATGGCCATGTCCTCGATTTTATCGTACTTGGGAGGGTTCATGGAGAAGATCTGATCTTCCTTCACAGTCAGGGTCTGTCAGAGGCAGACCATATGTCATCTAAGAGCTGAGGGTGGGATTCAAATGGTGTCCTTCAGCTTTGTTTCTTACTCACCTCTCCACCTTCAGTCTTGACAGTGACCTTCCCTGACTCCCTGCTCTGGATTGTTCCTTTCACAAAGGATTCCTTAGGATGCACCACAAAGACCGATGACTTGGCATCAAAAGGCTTGTTCTGGGCCTCAATTCTCTCCTTTTCTGACTTTCGGAGGTAAGGAGCCGCCTCCCCAAAGGCGGCCATCTCAGCATCTGGAGAAGTCATGTCTGCACTTATACAGGAGTCACAGTCAACAGAAGACTGTAGGAAAGAAGACATGTTGAGTCAGTGAGGCAACAGTTTTGTGTGGAAGAGAGGAAATCTCCTGCACTTTGTTCTCTTTAAATATCTAAGTAGGTATAAACAAGTCAAAAGTTGGATTTAAAGTTCCCAGTCTTGACTGAAATTAATCCTTTGACATCTATCTATATAACAAAGTATAGACCTGTTCTTTATTGTTGCAGTATTGTAGTGCTCTTTAGCAGTATTATTTCAAATTTGTGAACTCTGGTGAATATGGATATTGCCATAACAGAGACTTCATATTAAATAAGTCTCTGATTTTTTAAAATATGCTGTGTGAAAGTGTCTGAAAGACTTCCTTGTCTCATAGCAAACAGTGGATTTTCACTGGAAAATTTACTTGCTAGAAAAATACATCTTGCATTATGACTGATAGAAATGCCATTATTGCCTGCTTGGCTTTCTAGAAATCTTAAACTGTTGGATTTCTTCCTGTTCCTTAAAAGCTGTAAATTTTCATATTAATTCTGGTGGCAGAGGCTGGAAGTCAGTCACTGCTGTTAAAAAAAAAAAAAAAAAAAAAAAAAAAAAAGTTGCCTTCAAACCTAGAATAAAATCACTGGTCATAGAATCACAGAATTATTTATGTTGGAAAAGAACCTGAAGTCCATGAAGTCCTTGCACTCTAACCATCAACCTAAATCATAGAGACGGTCCCTGATAGAAATGTGTATCCGAGACTTATAGGAAGTTAAATTGAATAACAAGCTATATGCTTTGCCCAGAAGTTCACAGGAGCCATACACTTACCTTGAAATTTTCTGTCAAGACTGGGCACAGCACTCCAAAGAGACTTTTATAGACTCTGATATGCAGATGTTCTGGATGTTTCTTTTTCCTTCAGTGAAAATTTATTTTGGCAAACCATCTTTGGCAAAACGTTGTCTGGCAAACTTAAGTAACAGCATAATTGTCATTTGATTTGACTGGATATATTTAGAAATGGTTTACATCTTACCATTCCTGGGGATACGTTTCCTTTAAATAGTCTGACAGGGCTATTAATAAGGGAATCTTGACTAGTCAAAGCACTTAAAGAACTTGGATGTAGAATTTATAGGTTCCTCTACTGTGTCTACTGATAACTTGATCTTTGACCCAGAGGACATTCTTTGGCATTTCCATACTGCAACTATTCCAGACGTAAAATAGGAAAAATACCATGTGTCTTGCACACATGGTCCTGTGAATTTAGGCACTGCCTTTACAGCATTAGAAAAGACAATTGTATAAATGACAATTCATTACTAAATGTCGTTCAGTAATTCATTAGATGCTATACTGAAGAGGGGAAAACCGGGCACATATTGTGTGCCAGGACATTAACTGCAATAGCACTAGATACAGAGGGAAACCTAGAGACAGCAAGCCAGAATACAAGTTCAGGTTTGGACATGCAACTAGTGCCTAGAGTGTGAAAGGTGACACTTTAGCTATAAAAAGAAATAAATCTATGAAAGCAAATATGCACTTAGTATTATGAAGAAATTGAAATATTCAGAATGTGCATATTAGAGGAATGTTGCTGAGCCAGTCATAACTGATATTAAAGTATTACTTAGTTTTAAACAAATAAATTACTTCTGGTACATTATCCCTGAAAACAAAACAAAACAAAAAGTATAATGCTTTAAAAAAAAAATTTCTTATTTTAAAAGAAAGATTCAGTGGTTTTGTTACAGAGCTGATCTAATGTGTAACATTTAATGACTAGCACTTTTATTAATAAGCAGTTAGTCATAGTCAAAGTTATTTCTAGTTCTTAAAGTTTATTAAAATTCTAAGGATTGAGAGACAAACATGCAAAAGTAACCTAGACCACAAAATATCTTCAGCCTTAAACACACGCATACTTAATAAATACACTGTGATATCTCCTATGTCCCATCATACAAAACAGAAGTGTTAATGTGCCTTAAAAAGTTTAAACCTCTGTCTCCAATATGCATGTTCCAAGTGTCAACATATGTCAAGCAATGTCCTCAACTGGGTCATGAAACTGGGGAAGTCCCTGTAGCCTTTCACTACCTACAACTCCAAAAACCCCCACCCCTCCACCCAAACACAACTGTACACACAATCACACGGACAGCATACAGTCCAAGATCCTCTGCACTCTGACGCTTCCTCAGTCCAGCACTCCCATCTCATCCCAAATATCTTGCACACTTACACATTCATACAACAAAAGCTATCAACACAGTACTGTCTATGAGAGCACTAGAGGTGGTAGGCAGTCCTGTACAATGATGATACTCTGAGAAAGGGGGAGTCTGATGGTAGTCCTGGAGAGTGACTGATCTAGTTCTAGGAAAAGGGCACTGTCACTTGAGCTGCTTTAAACACTGTCAGTGCTAAACATGCTCTCCTCCTGGGTCACTGGCATTTTGGCTATTAAAAGAGCTCAGTGGATAAAGCTCGGTGCTTTATCACACAGGGGCAAGGTCAGAAGAATGATGCCTGCGATCCAAGGTAATACCCAGCCTCAAGCACTGGCCTGTGCATGAAGAGCTTGTTCCAAGGAGGGCTCTGACATTGCAGCACCCACTTTTTTGAAGTTCAAACCCAGAGCTCACCCCGGGGGTCCCTGCGCAGGGCATGGGGAGGCTGATGGAAACACCCTGTGCCCTGCCCAGGAGGAGTCCAGAAACAACCAGTGGGAAACGCCCAGCGCAGGGGTGCATCTGAAGTCCTACTTCTCTGTGCAATCTCTGACTCCCATGGATGTGCAGAAGCTAGAGAGTAGAGTCATAGAATCACAGAATCATAGAATGGTTTGGGTTGGAAAGGACCTTAAAAAGATCATCTAGTGCAGCAACCCTGCTGTGGGCAGGGAGATCTTTGAGTAGATCAGGGTGCTCAAAGCCCCATCCAGCCTGAGCTGGAGCACTTTCGGTGATGGGCATTCCCAGATTCTGGGGCCAGTCTGTTCCATTGTCTCACCAGCTTCATCTTAAAAAATGTCTCCCTTATACCCAACCGGAATCTACGCTCCTCAGGTTAAAACCTTTTCCCCTTGTCCTGTTACTACAGGCCTTGGTAAAAAGTCTTTCACCCTCTTTCTTACAAGCCTTCTCTAGATATCGAAAGGCCACAATACGGTCTCCTCTGAGCTGTCTCATCTCCCGGCTGAGCAGGCCCAACTTGCTCAGTCTTCCTTCATAGAGGAGAGGTGTTCCAGTCCTTGGATTGCTCTTGTGGCCCTCCTCTGCACCTGCTTGAGCAGGTCCGTGTCTTTCTTGTACTGGGGGCCCCAGAGCTGGATACAGGACTCCAGGTGAGAGCCGCATGAGAGCACAGCAGAGGGGGAGCATCCCCTCCCTCTGCAGGGCTGCTCCCAAGCCACTCATCGCCCAGTATATACTGATAGTGGGGATTGTCCTGACCCAGGTGCTTGACCTTGCACTTGACCTTGTTGAACTTCATCAGGTTCACATGGACTCACTCTTCAAGCTCATCAGGGTCCCTCTGCATGGCATGCCTTCCCACTGGTGTATCAACCACACCACTCGACTTGGTGTTGTCTGCAAACTTGTTGAGGATGCACTCAATCCTACGGGGTATGTCATTAAGGAAGATATTAAATAGTATTGATTCGATATGAACCCCTGAGGAACACCACTGGTTTCTATTTGGACACTAAGCCTTTGACTGTAACTCTTCTGATGTGGCCAAACAGCCAGCCAGTTCTTTATCCAACTAACAGTCCCTCCATCAAAACCATAACTCTCCGATAGAGCGGCAAGAATGTTGGGGGAAGCTGTATCAAAGGCCGTCCAGAAGTCCAGGTAGATGACATCAGCTGCCCTTCCCTTGTACATTGATGCAGTCACGCCATTGTAGAGGGCCACTAGATGAGTCAGGTACAATGTGCTCTCAGTGAAGCCATGCTGTCTCTAATCACCTCCCTGATCCATAGACTTTGACATAACTTCCAGGAAGGTCTGTTCCACGATCTTACTGGTCACTGATGCGGGGCTGACTGGTTGGTAGTTCCCAGGGTCCCCCTTATCACTCTATTTAAACAACGAAAATAATTCCAAGGATGAAAATAATTCCAGGAGAATTCCTGAATAAGTACTAAGAGCCTAACTGGCTGTGGGCAGAGTCAGGGAGAGGTAATGAGCCAACTTCCGTTCAGACATAGAAGGAAAAGGATTCCAAGAGAAGACGATATGTAGGTGAAAAGAAGACTGGGGGATCTGCAAAGTTGACCTCTGTCTGTTAACAGCTGTGCTTTGATACCTTACTCCCCAGGTACACACAATGGAAGTTAACATAAAGCAGTTACAGATGCGTGGGCTGTGTTTGGTGTGGTGGAGCAAAACATACCTTGAAAGGTGACTCCTATTAATCAAGAAATAATCAGGATGACTGTTGAAAGCAAGCAAAGACGACTTTGAAAAAGCACTCCCTGTGGGATTTGCAGCATGCTGATGTTGTTATCGGCCATGCTGTCTGGATTAGCAGAACATGCCTGTAGGGATCAGTGCACCCTGTGAATCACCAGTGGATCATGTGACACGGAGGATCCAGCTTCAAGGGAGTGTGTAACAAGGCAAACTTGATAGAGGACACTAGTCGCTGAAGTGGGAGACACAACAGCATTGAGATGTCAGTGTGTCATCAAAGCATCCATAACACCCCCTCCCTCCCTCCCTCCCTTCCTTCCTTCCTTCCTTCCTTCCTTCCTTCCTTCCTTCCTTCCTTCCTTCCTTCCTTCCTTCCTTCCTTCTTTCCTTCCTTCCCTCCTCCCTTCCCTCCTTCCTCCCTTCCTCCCTCCCATTCTCCCTTTTTCCCTTCCTTCTTTCCTTGCTGCCTCCCCCCCCTTTCTTCCTTCCTTTGAGATTTTAAAATGTTTTCACACAGTGGATTTCCTACCTACAGGGTTAATGAGATGGGGTCTCTCGTGGGTGATGCTC